GTGACTCCGAATTATCCTTAATTTATGGACATGAGTGTATATCCCAAGCAAAGTAATTTAAGTAAGAAAAAAAGGCACATTTCTGAAATCAGAAGACGGAAATTGCTTCATTCAGTCATCCTTTAGCAGTAAAAGCTTAACTAACCCGCATACTCGGAAATTCCCGAATATTCCGGATAGTAACTGGAAAAAGAGGAGTGGGGGAGATAGTAGCTGTTCTTTAGATTTAAATTTAGGCTAAATAAATGATTTTGACATTTCGATATGTGCATCATATAAAAACCAACGTAACTAAGAAATATTCTGCTTAGAAAGCACAGTAAAACTCTTTTAAGTGTGCATAAACAAATCTCAGACTGAACATCAAAATTAATTATCAATGCAAAATACTGCAAACGTTATTGCGCAATACGTGCGGCGTAATTCTTCCATATGTGATATTACGCAATCGGAATCAACGCCGGTATTCGGAGAAAAAAGAACTAAATAAAGGAGAAGAAAGAAACTTACTAATCTGGGGTGTTTCTGATTATAATTTTCAACAGACTGTATTAAATTTCCGGAATAGAATCAATCTTCGCTTGGGTTGGGTAAACCGCAAAAACTTTTAGTCCTATACAATCCAAATTGGACAGTGACAAAAAAAAGTCCGCTGCTTCAATATTAGAGATTTTGCGGAGAAACTCCCAACCTCCGTTCTGTATAATGTATTGGCAAAGAAAATGAAATTATTTTAACTATTTGATTACTTTCCTTTTATTTAAGCCATTCCGAATATTATTCCTTAGAAAGCCAATCTGCGTAAAAACACACCCATTTTGGGAAGTTTATACTTCAGCAGTTACTGCAACTATATGATTATAAATATTCATACATATGCTCATAATATAAGCATAATGATCATAATAAACACGAATATGAACTGACCACGCGGAACGAGAATGCAAATTATTAAAATCTTGATAGAAATTCAAACGTGTGTAGTATTTGGGAGGGAGGAAAAGAATACCGAATGTACCGGAATTTTCTACGTTTTCGCAATTCTTTGGCCAATAGAACGATGTGCACCTGTCTGTACTCTCGCGTGCACAATAGGTCAGGACTTAGAAGAGAAGGGCTAGCTCATAGAGCTTTTCCCCCTGAAGCAGAAAGTGAGAAGTGATGACGTAGTCATGATGACACTGAGCGCGCAGATGCAATTCATAGCTTGAAAATTAGCGATTTTGAACCACCGTTTGAAATGAGCTGTGTGTGAAAGATAGCTATAATTTGGAAGAGACAATGTTACTGCTTTATGCATTTTAGACTGAACCATTAAAAAATTTAATAATACTTACTCAATTTTAAAATAATAGATAAAATGTGCTACTCTTTTAACATAAAGTTCCGTGGGTTTTTTTCAATTTTTATTTGCAGGTTTTTTATTTAATGAATGTTTATTTCTAATCATTTCTTTATCTGCATGTGAACTGAGAGAATTTTTATACTGCTTCTAAGATAACTATAATAGCAGCTATTTAAATTTACTCAAAAAACAATTTTACATTGACATAGTTTTAAACATATATGACATATATGGCAACATTTCTGCTAACCTACGTTTGATTTTTTGATTAATTGTAAATTTTACATTGTTATAATTCTCTTCCGATTCAATATAATAATTTTTTTAAATAATTTTGTAATTTATACTTACATCTATATTACAATTAAATAAATGTATGTAAGATTGTTACCTTAATTTTGACAAAATAGCTTTACTCAGAGTACCTAATACAGTTATTTATTTTTTCAAAAGTGTGAGTAAAGGAAGCAAGTCTTTTTATGCCAATTACTTTAATGTTTTATACTATTATATTTTATCTAGAATGCTAATTTAGCACAAAATCTAATCAATAATTAGTTACAAAGGATACAATAAGAATAACTTTAACAAGTATACTTGTTATTCTTGTAAATGCAGCCTATTTAACTTAGCTGCAATCGAGCAATCGAAAATTGTGAGAGAAACTAAATTAAAAATATCTGTTTGACAGCAAGCATTTTCATCACTTATCGACGCTCGGATTTCTCGAGAAAGTAGAACATAGCATGTACTCTTTATTTGAAAAATTATCTCTCAGCGAAAATTATCAAGAAAATGCAAACAAAAGCTCCTCCAGTGAAAATTTGCGAAGTTTGTCGGTTTAATCTTTTGCATGTAAAATGCGATGTCAACGAGATTTAGTTTATTGAATGAAATTAAAATTTTAGATATGTGAATATTCTAACTAATTAAGCTTGTAAAAGTTTTCATTTACTGTTAAAATATGCTTCTAAATGCACGTGAATTTAAAGTTGAATTCTCTAAAGTAAAATAAATCAATTTATGTAGAAGTATGATCGTCTGCACGTTTTAGGATAACGAGTTATTAAAACTAAAACTATACAAGAATGGAATAACATGAATACCGTATTTTCTCGCGTTGATTTGATTTTTTTTAAATATAAACTCACATGTATGTGTTTTAATTTTAAATAATCTATATTATTTTTGACATTATTTATGTAGATGTGGCCGATGGATAAAAAAAACACAATCGTTATTCATAATACCGAAGATATTATCGATTAACTCATAGAAGTCAGATGCTTTTTGATTTCCTGTGGGGTGGAGTATACTTTTTGCGGTACTTTTTGAAAACAATGTTTTCTCTGGAGCGACTTTTTGTCTCTCGTTTCCCTTGGCCATTAAATAATTCGGTTTTAGTTTGTGACATAATTTGATTTCTTCTCAATCTCTATTTAAAACCTCTTTAATAATAACAAAATTTAAAACAGTTCCATCTTCTAAAACAAATCCTTTATCTAAAATGTGGTTTCTCAGTAATTTGAGGCAGAGCGCGAAATGAGACCTCTGATTAAAACCGAGAACTTAATCCAGTTTAGAGTCATAGCAGAGTTTTCAATCTATATTCATTTCGTCGAAACTGAGAATGCATATTTTTTCTACAGAATACAAGTATTCGCCTCTTTCTTTCTTCAGAGTAAGAACATCACTTTGAATTCTTGGACTACACTAAAATTTAGCACACCATTTCTTTAATTTGCTAATACTAAATAAAGATATTCCAGTTTTTTTCTTAATTTTTTTTCTTTCCAAAAATCATAGCTTTAAGATGACAGAGCTCTTATGACAATGCAACGTGAAATATCTTTACTAGTCCACCTGATTTTTTCCTTCTTTTTCAGTAATACATTAATCTGCGTCTTTATAAAAATAGGCTTTAGACATTTTTTCAAATTCTCCGATTTGTGCTTCCCCCCCCCCTCCAAAAAAAAATTTCGCTATTTGAGATTTTAATTTCTGATACCAATTTCTGTCTAGATGTCGTCCACCTTCGTTGCCGCTGAACAAACATTCTAAAATTTTCTTTTCTCTATTTTTCAATACTTTAATACAATTTTCTAAGGATATTATTTTGTTCTTCAAATTATCAATGCATTCTTGTTTATCCTTAAACTTAAGGCATTCAGGAATATCTATATTTTCATTTGTGAGTTTTATTTCAAAATCATTAAAATTTGATTTACTATTGTCATCATCAATTTCGATTTATTATTGTCATCATAATTTACTTTCGGCACAGCTTTCCATTTCAAAAGTTTCTTTTTGTGGCTATCCAAACAAGCGATTTTTCATATCATATTCATAAACACTGCATAGAAAATGTTCGCTGCAGATTTTTCCGCTCTTTGCATTAATAGAATCTTGTCTTTGACATTGTGTATCCATTCTTTCGTCAAAAGCAAAACCTCATTTGGATCCTTTGGTCCCATGAAATAAAATATCTCATCCTTTCGTACTTCTGTAAGTGCTACAGCAAGTTACTACAGCGCAAAATGCCATATTACGTAAATGGTACTTTACAATATAGAATTTAAAATAAAAACTGACTAAAATTACATATATATAAATTATTTTAAATATATACATTATTAGAACACAGATATATATATGATTAAAATTAATTTGGGATATGCAACCTCTAGAAAATCGTCTCGCAGCTGAATGAAACTACAGTTTTAAACGCGGGAAATCAGAACAGGTGGCATCACAGTGACGTCAGATTACTGCCTGTTAATTTTCCCCATTAGGCTCGCGTCGACGAGGAGTCGAACAAAGAAATGAGCTAGCCCTTTCTATTTATCCCTGACCATAGGTTACGTTAATGCAGAGGAAAGGTGGGAAAAGCAATTTTCGGGAGTATGATTCACCATCTGACATTGCATATAAGAAAGAAAAGTTGTTTATTTAGTTTCGGCTTTGGTACGGGGAAAAAATGCACATTCATTAAAAACAAATGATTAAAAAAAAAGCACTAGAAGCAAAAAATAGGCACTAAAAACAAAAAATAAGGGCTTTAAAGAAAAAGTAAGCACCTATAAGAGCCTTTATATTTTTATTTTCAAATATAAGGACTTATAAGCACTTGTACGGACTGCTACGAACCCTGTTAAACCTTAAATCATTTTTCATAATTTTTCACATTGCACAAGCAATGCTTACTTATTTTCAGATAAGTCACACTGAAAATGCTAGGATCCCATAATTTTGAAAATACTCCATTGCAGCTGTTCTGTTGCAGACAAATCCAAAATTTTATAATTTTTTCCAAATGTGATTGAAAACTGATAAAAGTTAACTTATATTGTTTTTACAAATATTAAACTGACTCATCAAGAATTAATTGGGTTTATATAAATACAAAGTGTTATGTCATGCTTATCCCATATTGGTGCTAAATCGCACTGGTGACAATTTTCTCTGTTTGAATCAGAGTCCTATTTCTGTCTTATAGCAAGCAGAGTTATAAATCTGCTTAGTTATACATATATATATATAAAGATTTTAAAATATTCCAGTTACTTGAGCTTTCTGGTTTGATGAATGTCGGACAGTATGCTTTTATCTATCAGCACTTTCACAATATGTTAAAAAATAAAACAACATTACATACACTTGCTGTGTCATTTGTTGTGGTTGTTGTTGAGGCTGTGTTTGAGTTGGTTGCTGCTGTTGTTGACTATACTGAGCTTGTTGCATCTGAGGATTTTGCTGGAAGCTGCCATACCCTGGTCCAGGTTGGGATGAAACATAGCCAGATGGAGGAGGAGCAAACCCACTACCAACACTTGAAGCAGGTGAATGGGGCTGTTGATGGCCTAAGAACATAATTTTTTAGTTTCCCTTATGCAGATTTCAACCAAATTTTGTTAAAAGCTTCAAAAGCATAAATAGTCATAATTAATTGCATTTAAATTACACTTATGCTAATTGTACTAAATTACTTTACAACTGATACTCATATTAACTGCACTAAATTGTGCAAAATAACGGCACCAAAACAATAGCAAATAGTCCTAAAGTAATAAAAAATAATTATAATAATTTACTAATATCTGATTATGTTGTTCACATTGATATAAAAGCCTCAAATACTAAATTAAAGAAACTTAATATAGTTTTTCATTAAAAACTATTACAGGCTTCAAGAAAAGCACCACTTCTCCATTAAAGACTAGTATATGCTTAAAATTTCAGTTATCCACTTTTACCCTAACTCTAATCAACTCTTTATATGAATGTAGAAAGCTTAAATACGGAAAACCGAAATTTTTGGAAGTTTGATACAAGACTTGATGTAGACAAAAAAATTGCCATGCATGTACAGGTACACAAACACCATTATAAAAACAGTAAAAATGTGTTGTGGGGACCTTAATTCATGCTTATTCACTGAAAACTCCCTTTTGAATTTTTGCACCAAAAGCATTATCTCACGTAGTTGGCAAGAGGTAGAAACAGCATGACCTATTTTTCTCACTAATGGAGCCATTAAGTTTATGAACATTTCTTGAGCTCAAAGTCCTGCTAGAGTCTATGGGCTTCAAGTAAAGTATCACTTCCGGTTATCCAATTTAATTCCTTTTATGAATGCAGGAAGCTTAAATATGGAAAATGGAACTTTTTAGAGTTTGATATAAGAGTTATGACTGATGAAAAATCATCATCAAACATACACACACAGACATTACTGTAAAAATAATAAAAACGTTGTACAGAGATTAACTCGTGCTTACTCACTGAAAATTTACAATAAAATTTTTGCAGCGAAGCCATTACTTCCCTTATCATTACCCATCTATAGGTTGGCAGGAGGTAAAAATTAGATAAATTATTATTATACTCTAGAACAAGAGTTCTCAACCAGTGGTACGCAAGAGAAAAATAGGTGGTACAAAAAGAAGCAAAGTATTTTTAACCATTAAATTCAAAAATTAGAACCTCAACATCCTGATTGAGTTTTTTCTCTAAAACTCATAAATTTATGTGATCTGAGCTTTCTTCAAGAGTGGTGGTGGTACTAAAGGTTTTCAAGTTTCGTTTAGATGGTACGCGTTAGTCAAAAGGTTGAGAACCACTGCTCTAGAAGTTACACAAATAAACTACCACAATATTTTTTTTAATAAAAGCTTTCTCATGAAACTTGCTTAATAATTATTTCTATGTTTCTTTAGCACCTAAATCAAATAAACAACTGAGTCAAAAAATAAAACAGCAAGTCTTATCCATTTTTTTAATGGATTAATATGAAAACATTAATCAAATGATAAAACAGTTTAGCCTCTTAGAATCAAAACTGTAATCAATAAAAGACTAAAAACTCCGAATTTGTATACTTCTTCTAAATTTTAAAAAAATCATATATTAAAATCAGAACATGCATTTAATTACGAATTAAATCACTACCTTGGAAGTAATGAGGATGCTGTGGGACTCCCTGAGGATGCTGTGGATTTTGAGAGGGTGCATAAACCTGCTGATGTTGATTTTGATACATACTGCTGGGAGGTGGACCAGCTTGAGCCATCTGCTGAGGCTGCTTTTGGCTAGCTGAAGACCCCAAACTGGAAATGCTATCGGGAGATCCACCACGAGCATCTAAGATATTTTGTTAGGTAAGTTTGGAGTTAAGACTTTCAAACATGTGATACAACTTGCTTCATATGAAGCTAAAATCAAGAACTCCCGGAAAAATCCTAAACTAGAGGAATTTACCTATAGAAGCAGTTCTTTACTTACATTTTGCGCCGAAATGGATGATGTAGTTTCAATTTTAAATATCCTTAATAAATTCAACCACTCTTGGTCTATTTAAACTAAACTGAATATATTTAATAATAAAACATTCATACGTAAACATTTAGTAATAATTCAGCAATACAGATAAGCTTTAAAATAAGAATTACAACCGTTACAGGTCAGCTACGTTTTTAGCGAACAAATTCTACAAACGACAAATCTCAAAAGCCTGTTGCAGACGCAGGGCAACAAAAAGTAGAAATTAATTCGATAGGCGTGGAAGTGAACAAACCTATTTCTAAAGTTTTATGGGTCTCTCTTACAAACAATTAAATGTGTATGAATATTTCAAAATTCCAAGCAAGTAATGTTATTTGTAAAAACCATCATCAAGAATGAAAAGCAAGTGATATGTCTGTGAGTAGGCTCTTTATTCTTATTATGCTTTTAAAATAATGCCAAACATTCAGGTGGTTATCAAAATAATCGAAATACCTACGAATAATAAAATTGACATTTAAAATCAAACAAACCGAAGGAATATAAGTATTTTCTATCGGGGCCAGTGATTTAATGAAAGTCATATATATATATATATAGTTCAGAAGTTCTTTTGAGGATAAGATATTTGGATTTATTCCGAAAATTAACGACAGTAAAATTCTAAACGATCTGGAATGAAACAGATTTAACAGACTTTTTTCTGTGAGGAAAATGAGACTGACCTTTTGATTGGAGCTGATGTTTTCGGAAAACTGTTGAATGGAAGTTTAGTTGAGCTAGATTTAGGGCTAAGAGCTGTGAAAGCTAAACTGGGATGGTTGGTAATTGGGAACAGAATTCAAGCATGGGTGATAACATTTTAACTTTTGTTAGTATATTAAAAATATTCCCTCGAGCGCATTATGGGAACTTGAAATTTTATAAATAGTTGATTTAACTTATACTGTGTTTTGAGCCATTCATCTGGAAATGGCAAATTCTTTATTATCAGATGTGTTTTAAGGTACTTTATCACTCAATGAGGAATGCCAAGCAAGTGATAACGGAACCAATTTTAGAAAAGCATTAAGGATCTTTCTAAATTAGACTGGTTTAAAATTTCTAGAGCTTTAGATGTAAAATACTTTCATACCACCCACCACAGCTTGGTGGAGAGGCTGGTGGGAAAGGTTGGGTCACATTGTAAAAGAATTATTAAAACATACCATGGGTAAATTTGTATCGAGTCTGGAAGAATTGAGTACTGTAATCTGTAACTTCGAATCAATTATTAATTGTAGACCATTAACATATGTATCAGAAGAAATCAGAAGAATAGAAATTTATTCCTCTTACACTCGCTATGCTTCTTATCAAAAACCACTGCTCCAGTGTTAGGGACATAGACGAACTGGATTAAAAAAAAAAAATTGATTTAAATGTTAAGATACCAACAAAACTATTTAACAATTAAAGAAAATGTTTTAGAAAGCAATATCTCAGTCAGCTTGTATTCAAAATTGCCATGTCATCGTGTAAACAAACAACCATACAAACATAAAACAAACACACACACACAAAAACTGATGACATCGTTCTAACTGGTGATGATAAAAAATGTTTATTTTGGCCTCTAGCAAAAATTACTGAACTTTCTGATTGAGATACGAAAGTCCATAATGTTAGGAAGAACACAGAAGAGTTTTGCGACTGCTCTAAAGAGTTCTCCCCTTTAGAGCTATAAGCTATTGAAACAGTGTTAACTAAAAATAAGAAAAGAGGAGAAATCTAATTATCAAAAACTAAAGACTAGTTTGTCTCCTGAATAGTGAAGATACCTCTTCTGGTAGGTGCATAAATGAGCTTAAATGACTAGATTTATTGTAAGTTTGAAAGTTTTCCCAAATTTTTATGGAGAAAGGATGTTGCAAACTGAAGAGATGTGGTGTTAGCTTCTAGAATGTATAAGAATCAGAATTAGTCTTTAATGTAAAATGACCACATTTTCATTGAGACAAAGCGGGAGAAATGAAAATGAGAATTATAATTTAGTTATAAAAGCAGACCAGTAATTCAAAAAAAATATATTTTATTATATACATTCATATACTTGTCTATAAATATACAAAAATATATTTATTATTAACAATTGGTAACTATAAAAATATTTGTAAAAACAATAATTTGAATATTATGTTTAATTAATTTAATATTTTATTAAAAAATTATGGTTTTTTCACAGTTATATTTTTTATCCGAGTGAATACTTTGCAATAGATTCGGATCATTTATTAAAATGTCATGAAATTTCTCACATAAATTGATCAAATTATATTTTTAGGCTTAATACAGATTTTACAGTTTTAATGTTCAACTGTGTTTTTTTCAATTGTCCATATTTTATTGATACTATAAAAAAACACGTTCTGTTGCTGCATTTGTTCCTGGAGGGAAGAGAGCGTGTTTTACAATTAAAAAAATATTTTCACAAGGAATATTATTCTGTTTAAAATGAAGGAATAACTCCGTCCATTTTTTGTCCGTTTCCACATTTGCAGGCAACCAACATTTAATTTTTTCATCAGTAACGCATCTTTTTACCAATGACACCTCATCAAAAAGAATATGTTCGCAAATATTATTTTTTGGAAAATGGTTACTAATATATTAAAAAGATTTTTTCACATATTCCCATAAAATCTCCTTTTTTTAATGTCACCCAATGAAAGTTTTTAACATCCTCGAATTGAACTGTCCGTTCAAGATATTTCAAGCAATTATTATAAAAACTCCTGACTTCTTTCAGAAAATCAAGTCATTTAATATGGAACCTTGTTCTTCCAACCTAGTAATGTCCTTTCAAATAACTAAAGGAACGTAATCGTTATCAATTCTTTCTTGCAATTTTGTTTTTAAATTATTGATTTTATTTGACATTTCCGTAATTGAAATTTTGTCCCCTTCACTAATTTTCCTAACATTGTGAAATAATGTAGCTTGGTTGTGGATGAACTGAAAACAAATTTGTGAAGTGTCATTTTTAAAAAACAGCTGCAATATTCTTGGACATTTATCTAGTGATAAAAAGTATGATTTTACTGGTTGGTATACTTTAAAATATTTTCTACAGCTGGTTAAAGAGCTAGCAATCGTGTTTTGCTGGAACTAATAATTCTTTTATATTCGATTCTGCGCTTTCACAAAAATCCTTCAAACTTTAGACACACACAGCATATGTATACATATAATTTAAAGTAAAGTAGAAAGAACAAACGATAAAAGACCTATGTGGTCAAAAACTTTGCGCATTGTGATGCAAAATTAAAAAATTAAAAGATAAATTCTAGTACGAACGCTAAAAAGCCGCTTAATACTGTGGTTCCATGAAAACTTTAACATGAGCAAAATAAGTTGTAATGAAATGTGTCAAAAGAGAAAAATATAGCATTTGATTATTTACAAGTCAACATCAATACTAACAGTAAGCAATATGCTAAACTAATTAAGGTACATTTAAAACATAGTAAAAGTATAAACTAATTATTCGAGTTAAAAATAAAAATTAAGAAGCGGTAAATGGTCGATTAGCCCAATTTGAAGTTCATTAAGGCACGTCAGGGCAAAAATTTTTTTAATGAATTTCAAACTAAGCCAACTCCATCATGTGTTTTGCCGAAACAGACAACCGAAACTGTACGCGACACATTTTTCAATTAATTAAATAAACTTTCTCAGAATCTTGAGTCTCAATTCTGTGTTCCAATTTCCCTACGCGTCCGCTTGAAGAAACACATTAAGTTGTAATAAGGATAATAAATAATGGAATGGAAATGCCGATGTACAGAATAAAATAAATAGCGATATGCTATTAGTCAAATATATATACGAATAAATTTTTTAAATAATATTTTTCACATCCACTGGAAGTAAGTCAGATGCTATTTGAATAGTACTGTGTAGAATGTGTGCTGCACAACCTACTCAAATAATTTTTTGGTTCAAATGTTCGTTAAATTTCGTAAAAACGTTATTGATGACTCTTCTAGCTTCTCCACCAAAATTTGCGTTAGTGTCAACAAGAAAATTGTCCTCGCAATAGGAAATAATTTTATTGTTCAAATTATTCTTTTTTAAAATAGTGTTTATTGATTCAAAAATTATTTATGATGTTTCATCCGGCAGCCGCCCAGACGGTATAGTGGTTAGGGGAGCCTGACTGCAATACTGAAGGGCCTGGGTTCGAATCGCGGAGAAGGCTTGGTTGTAACTGACTCTCCCTTCATAGGAGGCAATGGTGGCCCACCTATTAGGTGCCTCCATAATAAAGAGACCACCCCATCTGGCCTTAGCATACATTAATAGGCTCTGTTACAAAACTGTAACTGTTCACAATCTGCCATTGGGAAAAAAAAAGTTTCACCTGGCAATGAAACAAAATCCAATGTTCTAATTTTAATTCCTGTTTCTGGACCAAAAAGTCTAACAATTGAGAGAAATAATTTTAAATATTTGTGGTTGGAAATAAATTGTTTGGATCATAATATATGGATATAAAATGTGCATTTATCTAATTCTTTCTGTAAGCATGAAAACGAATATGGTGAGAAACATTACGAATAATTGCTTCAGTTTTTGACCTTGCATGCACAAATTTTTTATTGTACAATGTTTTGATCATTTGCATGATGTACAATCGATCTGAATCTTTGATTGTGGTTTATGGCATGGAAAGCAAATAGCCCTTCAGCTAATATGTATTGTTAATGGAGGAACAGCTGAAGGGCTGTTCCTCCATTAACAATACATATTCCTTGACGAGACGTAACGACAATGTTCGAACACCACCGAGTAAATCTAACTCATTACATCGCCTAATT